CTCCCTGTGTTAGTCAGTGCTCTCCAGGGAGACAGAACAAATGTATATAGAAAGAGAGTTATCTGAGGAATTGGTTTATGCAATTGTGGGAGCTGGCAGGTCTGAAATCTGCAGGGCAGGCCAGAAGGCGGAAATTCTCAGGCAGAGACTGAGGCTGCAGTCCCCACACTATATAGTCTTCTTCAGAGAAATCTCAGTTTTGCTCTTAAGACCCTTCAATTAATAGAATGATTATCGAGGGTAATCTCCTTTATTTAAAGTCAACTGATTGTAGAGGTTGACCCCATCTGCAAAGAACCTCCCCAGCAAGACTCAGATTAGCATTTGATTAAATAACTAGATCACATAGCCCCGCCAGGCTGGCATATAAAACTAACTTCTCCAGATCCGGGAAGCTGGGATACACGCCTCCAAGCTGGCTTTCCCCCAGGGATTGCTGTCCTCCTTATCCCCGCCCTTCATAAGGGCCCTCACAGGCTGCGTTCTCCCTGCGCACATGCATCCCGAGATGTCGATGTCACCTTCAGGATTCACGGAGCCTCCACACGGCCCTTCTGCTCCAGCTCCTGAAACACTGCAAGGATCTTACACCACTTCATTTATTTTCTTCTTCAAAATTATTTTTGAATTATCTACATTTTTTAGCTTAAAAACCTTTTTATAGCGTAACATGAAAAAATATACAATCCAACTAAAAAAGAGACAAAAGATTAAAATAAACATTTCCAAAGGTATACAACTGGCTACCAAGCACATGAAAAGATGCTCAACATTATTGGTCATTAGGGAACTTAAAATTCAAAACCACGATAAGGTAATTTTCACCTAATAGGAGGGCTATAATAAAAAAGACAGATAATTATGAGGACTGCAGAAAAATTGGAACACTCAGGGTTTGCTAGTGGGAATGTAAAATGATATAGCCACTTCAGAAAATAGTTTGATGGTTTCTCAGAATGTTAAACATACAGTTACCATATGACCCAGAAATATCACAACCAAAGGAAATGAAAATATATGTCCACACATAAAAAAAGTCTCTTCAATAAATGGTGCTGGGAAAATTGGACTAGTACATGCAAAAAAAAAAAAAAAAAAAGAAAAAGAAAAAGAAAAGAAAAGAAAAGAAAGAAAGAAAGAAAACAAACCACCAACTTACACCATACACAAGAAAAAACTCAAAATGGATAAAAGACTTAAATGTAAGTCTCAAAAGCATAAAAATCTCAGGCAAAAACATAGGCAATAAAACCTTGGACATTGCTTGTAGCAATATTTTTTCCCTGATGTATCTCCTAGGGCAAGAGAAACAGGAAAAAATAAACAAATGGGACTACATCAAACTAAAAACTTCTGCATAGCAAAAGAAACCATCCACAAAATGAAAAAGGAATCCCACCATATAGGAGAGCCTATTTGCCAATGATACATCTGAAAAGGGGTTAATTTCCAAAATATATAAAGAACTGATACAACTAAATACCAGGAAGACAAACAACACAATTAAAAAGTGTGAAAGGACCTGAATGGACACTTCTCCAAAGAGGACATATGGATGGCCAAAAGACACATGAGAAGATGCTTGATGTCATTAATCATCAGAGAGATGCAAATTAAAAGCACAACGAGGTATCACCTCACACCTGCCAGAATGACTACCGTTCATAAATCAACAAACAAGGGCTGGTGAGGATGTGGAGAAAAGGGAACACCAGTTCACTGCTGGTGGGAATGCGGACCGGTGCCGCCACTGTGGAAAACAGTATGGCGTTTCCTCAAAAAAACTAAAAATGGAGCCCTAGCTGGTGTGGTTTGGTGGGACGTTGCCCTGCAACGGAAGGTAGCTGGTTTGTTTCCTGGTCAGGGCACATGCCTGGGTTGCAGGTTCAGTCCCCAGCTGCTGTACATAGGATGTTTCTCTCCCTTTCTTTATCCCTCCCTTCTCTGTTCTCCTTCTAAAAAACAAAACAAAACAAAACACTGAAAATAGAACAGCCATTTGACCCAGCAATCCTACTTCTGGCAATATATCCTAAGGATCCCGAAACACCAATCAGAAAGAATATATGCACCCCTATGTTCATAGCAGCATTATTTACCATAGCCAATATCTAGAAACAGCCCAAGTGCCCATCAGGAGATGAATGGATAAAAAAGCAGTGGTACATTTACACAATAGAACACTATGCAGCTGTAAAAAAGAAGGAACTCTTACCCTTCGTGACAGCATCGATGGACTCAGAGATTATTATGCTAGGTGAAATAAGCAAATCAGAGAAAAACAAATACCATGTGATCTCATATGTGGAATCTAGTGAACAAAATAAACTGACAAAATAAAACAGAGGCATGGGTACATGGAACAGACTGCCGGATCTCAGAGGGGAGAGGGAGGTGGGGGACTGGAAGAGACCAGCCAAAGAATGTATATAGCATATATGCATAGCCCATGGACACAGACAACAAACGTGGTGAAGTCGGGGCGGGGGGCTAGGTGGAGGAGGGCAAAGTTGGGGGAATGGAGGGCGTCTGTAATAGTGTTGGCAATGTTAAAAATGTTCTATGTACCACAGTGAAGAGAAACAAGAAAGTTACCATTGGCTTGTTGGTCTCAATAAATTTTAGTTGATCTAAAGGATGTCTCTCAAAGGCAGGGCTGCTGGAGCTGGGATTCCCGCTATGCTCTCAGCGTCCCTTACTTGTCAGTCACTCTCCCTCCACCAGGCTACGCAGCCTTGGAAATTAAAAACCATCTCAATAGCAAGCATCAGGTTTCAGGAGTGTGTGAACTCTCATAAATTATATGCAAAATATGATGTGTGTGCACTTTTTTCCTGGCCAGAGCCTACACCCTTTATTAGCATCTCAAAGAGGGTCCTTAACCCACATTTTAGAGACTTAGGCCAGGTCGGGCTGCAGTTAGATTCTGTAGCAGCATCTGTAGTTTAAGTATGCAAAGTGTCCTTTGGCCCCTTGTTCTTGTCATAGCGCCCCCTCTTTGGGAGAATGATGAGGGGGTCTTCCCCTTAAATTCCACACTGCTGCTGGAGAATCTTCCCTTTTCATCTGGTTGCTAAATGCAGAAAATGTAATCTAGAGCTGTGTGCACGGTTCTCCACCTCACACCTCTATGAAGAAGCCGAAGGGCGCTCTTAGGAGACGGGGAGGAAGCGCTCGAGTGGGGGTCTCGATCCAGATTCCCCGAGGCCAGCTCCACTCTTCCCTTCCTCCCTCTCTCCGTTCCTTCCTTCCGTCCTTCTGTCCTCCAGCTGTAGGGGAGGAGATTTTAGCTTGGAGAAGGGAGAATGGTCCAGGGACAGAAAGGAACCAGGGTGGAGAACAGCGCGGTTCGGGAGAGCTGGTAACGGGGGCTGCACGGAGGGGATTTACCCAGGGACTAATAGGATCAGCCAACGGGAATCCTCCAGCAAGGCACGCACTGCATGAAGGGCCGAAGCGCCGGGGTGGCTCGAGGTCAGGATTACCGAACCCCAGGAGCGAGAGAAGGAAGCTTAAAGGGCCAGGCTGTGCAACCAAGACAGGGGTGATGGCACTGTCCTGACCCGCTGAGAAAGAAAAGGCAGCCCTGCCCACCCTACCCCCACCCTCCCCTGATCTAGGGGGGAGCACCGGTCCCGGGAATTTCAGCGATGCCAGGCCCAGGCCGCCTCCGAATCGCGGATGACTTGTTTGTTACCCAGCGAGCTGGAAGTCTGAAGCCAAGGAAGTCAGTCAGGGAGGTTGGGGAAGGGACTGAGGAGAGATGACTTTCCCTGCCCCTCTTCCTCGCCTCCCCCTCCGGGTCCCACTTGGTAGCACCTTCCTGATCCCCTAATCTCTAAGGCGCTCAGGGAAATGCCCCCCTGCAGAAGGCCTCTGGGAAGTGCAGCCCTGGCGGCCCAGGAACCATGAGCCCTGCAGCCCCGGTAAGGAAGAAGTCTCTGGGATAGGAGGAAGGGTTTACGGCCGGGTGGGTGCCCTTGTCAAATAGGGGGTTGGACCAGGAGCCTTTCAAGGCCTTGACAGGACCTGCTCTCTGAATGACATCCTGGTTTTGCTCGTAGGTGGGGGTTTGTGGCTGAGCTATTCAAGGAAACGATCCTGGAAGGGCAGACTGAGGTGGTAGATAGAGACACGGCCTTCTTTCTCCAGCTGGGTTCCCTTCAACCCATTTTTGACTGTCCTAGAGGTGCCTTTCCAATCCACAAATCCGACCACCTAACTCCTCATCTGGAAACTCCAACCCCAAGCTCCAGTCACTACTCATAATATTCAAGCTCTTGAGCCTATCATCCGAAGCCTTCCTGTTATGTCCTAGCGACCCCTGCAGCTTCATCACCTGCCACTCCCATGCCTCCCCCACCCCTGCACTCTACTTTCCAAACACAGTGAAATTCTGCACACTCTTTTGAACTTCCTTGATCAGTGTGCATATGAGTCCCTTAGGTTTCCTACTCATCCTTCAAGACCCTTTTTTGCCTCCTCTGGGAAGCCTTCCTGAACCTCTTGGGCAAAGTCGGACTCTTTCCTACTGCAAAATCATACCCTACGCTGTAATTGTGTGTTCATGCTGTCTCCCCCACCAGACTGGAAGCTGGGGAAGGAAGAGGGAGGGCCTTGTGGGATGCTTCTTTGTGCCCTGCCTACCTCCCAGTGTAGTGCCAGGTACAAACTGAGTATTGAGAAAACATGGTAAAACTGGGAACCTGGGAACCTTACTTTTTTTCTAGAAAATTAGTTCAAGATTCTTAGAAAAAAGTATTTCATGATAAATTAATGAACAAATGTCATAACCGCAAAGTAAAATCGCAGGTGCGGCCTCTCACCTGTGCTGGGTCAGGACAGGTGTACCACCACCCAGGGGCGGTTGCGTTCTGCCTGGTTCTAGAGCTGCAGACTACAAGTCCCAGAAGGCCTTATGACAGCGCATCTCTCCACGCCCCGCCCCCTCCCTAGGGGTGAGGCGGGGCAGGAGGGCGGGGCCCAGGAGCTACGAGTCCCAGGAGCAGTCTGGGGAGTGAAGTGCCCCGAGCGCTCTGGGGCGCGCTAAGCGCAGGCGTAGCGGATTGGGTGGCAGCAGCATCAAGTAGCGGCCGTTTTTGGCAGCAGCATCCTGCAACAGGTGTGTAGACAGGTGGGTGCATCAAGGGGAGGCTGGAGAGGGAGTCTGCCCCTGGCCCTCTTGTCTTACCTGTGTCAGGGCTTGGACAAGGGAGGGAGCGCCAGGAGAAGCGGGGACAAGGCCGGGCCTTTCAGCCCAGGTGTGCCAGCCCTTGCTACGCAGCAAGTGGGGGAGGGGCAGAGGCACCCGCTCCCAGGTAAGTCGCACTCAGGAACAGAGTGCACCTCGATTCCAATCCAAGCTCCATCACATACATAGACAAGTCAATGTATCTATCACTCAGTTTGTGCATCTGTAAAATAGTAAATAGTCTACCCATCTAACAAGAGTTACAGTGGGGACATGGTAAGGTGGTGCAGTATGTGCAGTGGTTCCCAAACTTTGCTGCGCATTGAATCAGCTGGGGATCTTTAAAAACTAACAATGCTTCGTTCCCACCCCCAGCCATTCTGATTTAGTTCTTAATAGAGTATGAGCTTGGTACTGGGAGATTTAAAAGCTCCTACTGGTATAATGGGTAGAAGCTAGGACTGCTGGGTGTGAACTCTGGCTGCATTGCTTGCTAATTAAGTGGATCTGCACAAGCGACTGGACTTATCCAGTTTCTTGGGAGTGGCAAGATTGTTGTGAGGCTTTGATGCGATAATAGACAAAAATGCTGGGAGGTGTACCTGGCATAGTGCTCAGTCAATGGTAGCTGCCGTTGAACCATTATTTTTGCATTTTATTTACAGCTCAGGTGGGGTTCAAATGTGAGGGTTTTTTTTTCTTATGATGAAAGTCCCTCATTTATTGCCATAATTCTAATATTCTGTGCTACCAGCATATCAGAAATCCAGGGTTTCTAACATTTTTTGAGTTCCTTACGCCAGCCTCTACCTGCCTCACAGACACACTTCTACAGATCTAGGATGAGAGGCCAGGAATAAGGGACTTGGACAAGGTTATGTAACTGAGATTGGAATCGAGGCTCCTGACCCCACCCCCACCCCAGCACAGTGGTGGCTGCCCTGCTGACCCCACGGGACAGTGCTGCCATTATCTTCCTGGAGCAGAGAATGGGGAGGAGGTAGCAGGCTTGCCTTGTTTGTTTACTTACACTCCCGTAAACATTTCTTCAGTGGCTCTCCTGGGGAGGATGGGCTGGGGGCTTCTCTCCCCAGAGCTGCTCTGAAAGTGCTGATGAGGCCTGTGTATCCTGTGGCTCCTCTGGCAGGTCCCGTCTGACTCCATCCTGGAAGCTCCTTTTGAAGAAATGGCCCTGGTGAGGGGCGGCTGGCTGTGGAGACAGAGTGAGTGGCCCTGGGCCAAGCCCGTGTCTGACCTGTACCTTGTCCAGGGAAGGAGCAAGGAAAGAGGCTGGTTGGGCCTGTTGCAGGGACCCCTTCTTCCCAGAAACCAGGCCCTCTCCCCTCCTCTGTCCATGCTCTTCCCTATGCCTGGCATGTCCTTCCTATTCCTGACTGCTCGGTAAACGTCTACTTTTCTTCAAGACCCGGCTCAGACGTCCCCTTCTGTGAGGAGCCTTCTCTGACTTTTCCTCTAGCCCCCACCCCAGCCCCTGATTGCTTCTGTGATCCCCAACATCTCATCCATACTCCTGTTATGGGTCTCACCATCTCCCTCCCCATGCAGGCCCCAGGCTGTGAGCCCTTCAAGTCTGGCGCTGGGTTAGATCCTCTGTGGGTCTACACCACCCCAGCCTAGGGCTGGCCATATAACAAGGCTCAGAACAAAAGGAAAAATGCCTCTGTGCTTTAGAATCCATAAGGCTCTAGGAAGCTTTCTTATGTCTTTGCCCTTTCTGTCAAGATTTCTAGTCCCAAAATATCTGAAGCTAGGGCTCAGCTTCCAGACCCACACTCTGACCAGAGTCATGATTGTAATGAGAGCTCTTCTGGGCTAGGAACCCCCTACCCCCTCCATAACCTATTCTCAGCAAACACTGAGCCCAGGTCCAGCTGGGGACGCCCCCCGTCTGGTGGAAGAGGCAGATACTACATAAATATCACGGCCACACAAGTCAGAAATAAGAGCTAAGATGAGGCTCAGGGTAGGGAGAGGTCTTTGCCCTTGAAAGACCTGGGGCTTGGCCTTGGAAGCCCTCAGGGGAAGAAGCAGGCCATCCGTTTACCATTCTAAACATTTAGGGAGCCCCTACTATGTGTTAGGCCCAATGGGAGGCAATGGGCGAGCAAGACAGAAAGAGGACCTGCTGTCATTTCAGGGGATAGACAATGACAGGTGATTACAACACTGAGGACCTGGGGGAAGGGGACTCTGGGGGCCCATCTAGGGCTCCTGCACCCTCCTCACCCAGCAGACTCTGCAATCAGTGTGCCTGGCGGGTCTGGAATATCTCATAGGTTCTATTCTTCGACGCTGGAAACGAAACTGGTTCGCCCTGTGGATGGATGGAACTCTGGGCTACTACCACGACGAGACTGCTCAGGACGAGGAGGACCGAGTGCTTATCCGCTTCAATGTTCGCAACATAAAGATTGGCCAAGAGTGCCACGGTGAGAAGCCCTTGCCCCTCTCGCAATGTGACTGGGCATGCCCTCCCATCACGTCTGTCCAAGAACACTTGCATTGGAAGGCTCTTTGCGACTTTCAGAGGACTTTTACCGACACTGCTTCTAGGCCTCTATCAACTCCCATTCATGGGTATGAATTAAGAAATCAGATCCTTACTGAGTTCCTACCCTGTGCTGGGCCCCAGCTGTATACTGGGCTCACAGAGGTGAGTCAGTCCCAGTTCCTGTCCTCTAGGTACTAGGAGCTGGGTAAAGATGAAGGGAAATAAAGGAGGCTCAGAGAAGTTAAGTGACTGGCCCAGAATCACACAGCAAATCTCAACAAGACTTAGGCCACAGTTATGACAGGATTACTGAGAGCTAGGCGTACCAAGCTAGAGAAGAAGGCAATGTGAAAGCATCGAGAGGCTCTAAAGAGTAGAACACAATCCTAAAGAAAGTGTGCAGGATCCGAGGAGGTTGGCAATGGCCAATAAACAGAACCCAGAGAAGTCAGTTCCTAGTCTTGTTCCTGGTTTACTGGGGGGTCCTGGAGACTGCGCCCCCTGGAAACCCTGTGTCTGCCTTTAGATGTGCAGCCGCCAGAGGGCCGGAGCCGAGATGGCCTGCTGATTGTGAGTCTACGGGAGGGCGGGCGCCTGCACCTGTGTGCGGAGACCCAGGATGACGCCATGTGAGTTGCTCCCAGGAGAGGATGGGATGGTATCTTGGGGGATGGGATCAGAAGCCTCCTCATTGGGCCTTTTGGTTCCCTGAGGTTAGGAAAAGGGGCCAGAGAGATCAGTCGGTTTGGTAGAGGCTGAAAGAGTGCATTTGATGGCTCATAGTGGTTGGTAAGGTACCCAGTAAACTCCTCACATGGCCTGCGGTGAACTCAGGACTGTTGGGGGAGGATTGTGCACACCTGCCTCAAGTGTGTGGCCCCTGATCACTCAGAGTCGGGTATTTAGCAGCCTCTACTTAGAGGTGATACAAAGGAACGGAGCCCTGTGTTATCCTCAAAGGACCCTCTTCTGAGGTGTTCTGAGAAGGTGGGGAGTTGGTCTGAGGGGTAGACCCTGACCTGCCTACCAGAGGCAGCCTGCCTTATCACGGGAGCACCGCAGGGTCAGACTCGGATCCATGCTGAGGGACTGGGTGTATCCTCCTCAGGCGCCGGCTGCTCACTCACATTCTTTCCCTTCCTACCCTCTGGCAGAGAGGGTTGGTTGGCCTTTGCATTGTAGGAGAGTGATTGAGAGGGGGTGTGTGGGAGCGGGGTGGGGGGAAAGCTGAGCTCTGCGTAGACGAAGCACAGAGCCGCCTTGTCCATCCAGACAGGTGCCATGGCAACCAACAAAAGCCCGATTGTCCTGTGTCTGCTGGGCCTTTCCAGGGCTCTGGGGTCAGAGTGTTGGGAGACTGCAGGTTTTGGATGAGGGGGGTGCTGCTGCTAGAGAACCAGCCCAGGCCTGTCCAAATCTGAAGGGCAAAGAGACCCCCCAGGCCCAGCTGTCTATTGTCTAGGTGGGGAAACCGGATCTCCCCTCGGGGGTAAAAAAACATGAACTAAATGAATTTCGAGGTTCCAGGTCAACTGAGGGCTGCATCCATGTGACAGGAGTAGGGGAAGGGGTCACTTTTGTATACTAAAGAGATCTCCCCCTTCTCAAGAGAGTGGGACTGGAGGCTGTGTGAGGGAATTAAATCTAAATTGTAGGGACCCATCTTCCAAACTCCCCCTCATGGTCTGGTGGGGTTTGCTTTGCAGAGCGTGGAAGACGGCACTGCTGGAGGCGAATTCCACCCCGGTGAGCCCCCATTCCCTCCCTCGCCCCCTCCCACCCCTACCTGCCATGGAATCATGGGTGACTCAGACTCGGTCTCCATCTGCCAGGAGTTCTCAGTTTCCTATATGTGAATAAATAGGCATGTGCAGACTCAGGTGCCCTGAGTCCCAAGTAGAAAAGGATAGATGACAGCCCACTGGTGTTCAGAGGAGGAAGAGGGAGGCCTCCAGGACGGGGATGGCATGGGAGCTGGGGGAAAGGAACTGTCTTTTATCGAGCAACTATTATATGCCGGGTGTGGTACAGGTGTAGTTCTAACTATTCCTCACGATAGTCCTGTGAGGTTGTGATTATTGTTTCCTCTCTGCAAATGATAAGACTGAGCTTCATTCATGCACACAACAAATATTTACTGACTTTCTACTATATGCCAGGCATTGTGCCAAGGGCCAGGGATCAGAGGTGAACTAAGGACATATGGTCCCTGCCCTCCTGGACTCAGCCTGATGGGAAGCCAGACGTGAAGCAACAAATTAGTTTTTTATTCCATTGCAATGGGGGTAACTGCTCTGACAGACAGGCAGTGTGTATTCAGTGTGTGTCCACCTCGATGGCTGGATTCACAGATGGAAGTTCAGACAAGGCTTAAAGTGAGACCCGTAGGATCGACAAATAGACTGGGTAAAAGAGGCGGGGTGGGGTGAATGGCACAGTTTTCCAGGCAGAGGAAACTGCATGTGCAAAGGCCCTGAGGGGGGTTAAGTCTTTGGCAAACTGAGCAAAATGAAGGCTCTGGGGGCTGGAGCTCAGGGAGTGAGAGGGCAGTTGCGGGGGGGCTGGCAGGGCCAGGTGTCTCAGGCTGTGTGAAGGATGCTGGTTTCTCTTAAGAGTACAAGGAAGGCATGGAAAGTTTTTAAGCAGAGGGATGGCATGAATGAGTCAGACCAGATCTGTATTTTTGAATGTTTTTATTGTTTTTTTAGAAAGAGAGGAAAGGAGAGGGGGTGGGGTGGGGGGCAGAGAGAGAGAGAGAGGGAGGGAGAGAGCATGGATTTGTTGTTCCACCCATCCTTGCAGTCGTTGCTTAATTCTTGCATGTGACTTGACCAAGGATCAAACCCACAACCTTGGCATATTGGGATGACGCTCTTACCAACTGAGCTACCTGGCCAGGGCTCAGATTTGTATTTTTAAAAAGATAGTTTGGCTGGTAGGTAGGAAATGGATTACGGAGGGTGAAAGTGGATGCTGGGACAGTGTCCAGGTGACTGGCTGGAGGTCTGGATTAAGGCCTTGCTGGCGGAGGCAAGCTGACGAGGATAAGACATGTTTAGGAGGTAGCGTCAACAGAGCTCAGTCACTAATGGAGGTGTGGGTTTGAGGAGCTGCCCAAAGCCCCCAGCTCAAGGTGACCTTGACCCCATCTGCCTGTCCCCAGATTCCATGCTTGCTCCTTCTGTCTATGGCACAGTGGAGCCCTACTCATCTACAGAGAAAGTCCTCTGAGGAGAAGCAGGAAAAACTGGGATGCTTTAAAAAACCCCCTCAGGCATCCATCTGAGGGCTGGGCATGGTGATGAGCCCCTAACTCGGTTATATCACTTAATCTTCCAACAACTCTGGTGGGGGATTGATGTTTTCAGTCCCATTTTACAGATAAGGAACCTGAGGTTCAGAGGGGAAGGGATTTATCCGAAGTCTCATAGTTTTAAGTCATTGAAGAAGCCTGTATTGGAACCTAGGTCAGTGTGAGATTTTGAAGGAAACTGCATGAGCAGAGGCAGGGAGGTGACATGTGCGTGTATGTGTGTGTGTGCACAGGTGTGTGTCAGGGCCAGGAGCCTGGCCTGGCTACAGGTCATATGTGGGAGGAAAGAAATGGGAAAGATGACCCCTGAGGAGCTACGTCACAGAGGACCTGAGCTTTATCCCGAGGCTTGTGGGGAACAGTAAAGGTCATCAAGCAGGAAGGGCTGTGGTCAGACTTTGGGGAGCAGACTCGGGCTTCTGGGTGGAGCCTGGAGTAGAGGAAGCTAAGAGGAGGCTGGGGCAGTGGTCAGCAGGGTGGAGAGACCCTTGGGTGGGCCACACTGGCTCTGAGCTCCAAATTCCCCTTATGCAGGGCCAATCAGCCCCGCCCAGGAGAGGCGGGATAAAAGGAGGTGAGGGCTGACCGTTCTGCACTCTGTGACTCTATGAAGCGGCCTTGTCCCTTCTCTTCCTGTCCGCCTTCCTGCTGCTCTGCCTACCACACCTCTCTGCTCTGACCCTCTGCTCCAGCTCCTGCTGCTCTACACGCACACCCTCTGCTCCCAGGGCTCGCTCCCGCGGGGTGATTTTGTGCCTGTGTCTGTACCGGTGCCTGCCTGTCTCTGAGTGTTCATGCCTGAGTGGTCAAGCCTCTGACGTGCCCCTGTGCTGGAGGGACCTGTGCTTTGCGTCTTCGCATCCTGCAGGTTTACACCCGACTCTGGGTGGAGGCTCTAGGAGGAGCCCCTGACCCCAGCTGCTCCAGGGAACACAGGGCTGGGCTCAGCCAGGGGCAGGGCTCGGGGTTCAGTGAAGGGGGCGGGTGGCTGGGAGGGCAGATCAGAGCTGTGCTGTCCTCCCTGGAGACTGGGAGCCTCAGCAGCCTGAAACAGGTGAAGGTGGGCTAATTCTGGAGGCGTGCTACTGATCCTTCTTCTCTGAGTAACTTGGGCAAAATCACCACCTGCTGTGAGCCCCATTACCATGGGCTGAGGAGGAAGGAGACAGCCCCAGTCCCTGCCCAGCTGGCTCTGGTAGGGCCTGTTAAGAACTCTTGAGTCCCTCCAGACGTAGAGGGCCTCTGACACCTCCCTCCCTCCACCTTCTTGGGTTTCTGTGGCTTGAGCAGGCCCCAGCTGGAGCCACCGTCCCTCCCAGAAGCCGCCGGGTTTGCCCCAAGGTCAGGTGTGTGATCCGCACGTGGAACCCCTGTAAGTTTGAGAGGCGAATCTGGGTAAGTGCTGACTTAGCCCTCCCGGCCTCCATCCTGGTCACCGGGATGTGCCTCCAAAATTGGGCCTGGTCACATCCCTTCCCTGCTCACAAACATTCCATGGCTCCCCATCACCCGGGGGACATGGCAACCCTGCCCTCAGGATCTGGCCTGGGCCCGCCACAGGCCCCTCATCCCCTGTGTTCCACCTGCTTTGCTGTACCCTCTGTCCCAGCTGCTCTAGACCTCTTCCGTCTTTCCAGCCTTTACACATGCTGTTCTCTCAGCTGCAAAAACCCTTAGTTTCCATACTCACCTGACGAACTGACGTTTATCCTCGAAGACCCACCTCAAAGGCTGCCACCGCCTCAGGGAGGACTTTCCAGATGCCAGGCAAGGTCCCTGTCTCCCACTGCACTAATACTTAGTACTGTCTTCATTCTGCCCAGTTTCTAATCTGTTTATTTCTGTCTCTGTTCTCCCATGAGACCTGAAGCTTCCTTCAAGGCAAGGACCAGGTCTGATCAGCTCTGCCCCTGTGGAGCCTGGCACAGTCCTGGGCCTACCGAGGGAAGTCAATGACTACTTAGTGGCTGCGAGAGTCTATTTCAACCTTCCTTATTCCTGGTGCAGGAGTGTCAGGCACAAGTAGGCTTCAGGCAGTGTTCACTGAATGAGCAAACAGGTGAATGACTAAAGGGAGGAAGCAAGGAGTGAAAAACCTTTGTTATGGCGTCACTATTGCCTATTACTATCTAGTCCCTGTCTGTCTCCCTGCCTACCCCGCAGGGTTTCTGGAAAGCAACACTGTCTCTGGATTTGGGGATGAATCCTCTGTCTGTCCCCAGGGCTCAGCCTGGATGCAGTGGGCCCTTGCCTTAGAGAACCTGTGGTCTTATAGTCAACTGTGAGCTCCTTTTCTAGCACAATGGTGCTCAGTCTGGCTATGCATTAGAGTTGCTTAAGGACTTTAAAAAAAAATGCAAATGTTCAGATCCTACTTCTGGATGCTTTAATTTCATAGGTTTGGCTTTGGAAATCTGTGGTTTAAAAATTTCTCCTCGTGATTCTGATGTTCAAGAACCACTGTGCCCAGAAGTGCTAGGACCACCCAGTTGCTTAGACAAGGCTCTGCTGGGTTCTCACTGTGCCTTGCGCATGGATGGTGTAGGAAAGGCTGTACCTATTTACAGATGAGAGGACTGAAGCTCTGAGGGGCCATAACTTGACCAGGGTCCTTTGATTCCTCAGTAGCAGCACTGGGACTTCCAGCTCAGCATTGCAAGGCATCCCCCATGCCTGGACTATGATTCAAGTTTGTTTATAGTGAGGATTCCTAAAAACAGGATTTAAAAGGCTATAAACCTTTAAAATCTTGTAAGCACAGACAGCTTTTCTGAGGGAAGGGATGTATTTGCATGTGACCTCTTGAGTCCCATGATCCTGTCCCCACTCACAAAATGGGCTGGGCCTGTGGAGAGGGAGAGGACTAGGAATCAAGTCTTTTGGTTCTGTTCCTGAGGTCTCTGGAGGATCCCCTGCCCCGTTGCCAGGTGACCCACATGATTTTACCTCTGAGCCTCCCAAATCTGGAAGGTTGAAGCAGGTGCCCCACAGGGACATGAGGTGGTGTTTTCCATTCTCTTCTGCGCAGCTACTATGGCTCGCCCTACGCAGGGAGGCCACGGGCTCCCTGTGCAGCTGCAGAGGCATGCACTCTGGACCTCAGCTTCCCTACCAGTGAAACTGGGGATCAGTGCTTAGGTCTCTCTTGCTCCTTCTAGGCTTGGAGCTCAGATCCCAGCCACCCCCACCAGAAACGCCTATCGGATCACCCTTGCGGAAGGAGCACAGTGAGGGAAGTCACTTGAGACAGGGCTTTGTTTGTCTGAACATCCTGCATTGCTCTGGACTGGTCATTGTCCCTAATTTGAAACTGGACTTAGAGTTGGGTGACCTTTGTTCCAGTCTGGCCCTGTATTTGATTTACTTGAGATAAATTCAATGTATTAGGTACCATGTTCCAATCAGGCCTGGTCAGACCCAGTTCCTGTCCTTGGTCATGATGATGATGGGGGCGTCTCCAAGTCTGATGAGAGAGATGCTCTCCCTGGGATACACCCAATGACACTGCAGGGGGAGGTACTCTGCTATGATGAGGAAAGTTAAGAGCAAAGGGTGCCCAGATGGGACCCCAACAGAACCCGAGGGTCAGGGAGAGTAATACTTGGAGTTGATGCTGAGAGACAAGTTAGGCAGTTGAATAAAAAAAGGTGAGAAAGGTATCCCCATCAAAGGGAAATGGCATGGAGATTTGAAATTGCTAGGTGTGCTTGAGAATTCCCCTTTACAGCCAAACTTCTTGAAAGAGATGTCATGACATGTTGGTTCCATCCCTCATCTCTCAATTACTCTTCAACCCCTTGTAGTCTGGCTTCTTTCCCCAATCACTCCTCTGAAAAGTATTTTTCCACGGTCACCCACAGCTTCCAAGTTGCTAAAACCAATGGCTTCTTCTCTTGGCACTGGCCAAGAGGGTAGACAGAAAAGCATATTTACAAGGTAAAGTCATGAGACCCGGTGGCTATGATGTGGAAGATGAGTGTGTGAAGACAAGTGTGCCAACATGTCTTGATTTGAGTGCATGGTGGTGGCATTTAGAGAAAAGAATTTACAGAAGAGCAGGTTTGAGGGGATGGAAGGATGATGAAATCAGAGATGGGCGGAGTTTAAGATACCTGGACTTCAAAGGGGAGTTGGACCATTCAGGTGTGAAGCCCCGTGAGAAAGAGACATAGGGTGGAAGGGGGCTGAGAAGGGGGTAGGAGAGAGGGGAAAGCTGCCCCTCTCCACGTGTGCTCCCCTGTAGGTAAAATGAAGGGCTTGCATTAGGAGCTTCCATTTAATTTAGCATATATTTATTGTTATCAATTAGACCCTGCTGGTGACACACATGAATCAGAGTCCTTGCCTACAGGTAGTTCACATTTTGGGTGCTGGCAGGAAAGGATAGGAGTAAGAGGCATAAGTATAGCTCATGGAGAACTCAGGAAGAAAGGGTTGTTCCTGAGCCCTGAAGGGCTTCCTGGAGTGGGTGGATTTTGAGTTGTCTTTGAGAGGTTAGTAGAAATCCCATAGGGACGGAAGGGGGCAGGGAGTGCATTCCTTTCTCCCAGAGAGAACACTGACCAATCTTTGAGCCTCCCTCTCCAGCTCTGTGGCAATGTGGAGATAGTAATGCCCACTGTAAGGAGTAGAGGAGGTAACAATGTAAACAACTCCCTCAGGACCTGGTACATGGTGGATGCTCTGTAACACTTTAGTTACTTCCTTTCCCTACTGGATCAACCCCCTTCCTTCCTTTTATTTCCTTGGCCTGGGGCTTGGCCAGGTCCCCCTCTCCGTGACTAGGAGAGTAATCCATTGGGTTTCTCCAAATGGGGAGCCATTGGAGAGCTGCTAGCAAACACTAGACTATCTAAGAAAAAAGTTGGAAGCCATGGAGATTCTTTTTTTAAGTATGGTTTTATTATTTCTATTGGAGCGGGCATTTCAAAGTTGTGAGACTTATTTATCATATTTTCAAACCCTGCCTGAGAATCGAAATATTTTTCATAATGTATACGATGTTATTTGTTATGTACAGACCCCTCCCTGGCCATATTGCTGTTCGCCTTGGAGAATTTTTTATTACGGGAGGACTAGGTAGGAGGCCAGGACAGGAAAATGGCATCTCTGGGAGCCGTTTATGGCGGCTGAGCTTTAGAGGACAAGGACCATGGACCTGGTGGGTAGGCAGGGCTTTTCTTCAAGAGGTTGCTGGTGCCTGGGGACCCATTTATAAATTTGGGGAAGCATATCCATGGGCCCAGAGGGGCATAGGCTGGATGTAGTGGGTAGGGGACCAAACCCGGGACAGGGAGTTTCCAGGCAGCTAACTCGGCAGGGCTCCCCAGGTGCGTGTCTACAGCCCGTACCAGGACTACTACGAGATGGTGCACCCCAACGCACACGAGGCCACTTATGTTCGCAGCTACTATGGCCCGCCCTACGCAGGTAAGTTTCTAGCCAGTTCTGCCCCTGCCTCGATCCATCAGGCCCCTCCCTTTTAGTGACCACATATCTTCCCAGGCAGGATCCCTCATGAGGTTCTCCCCATTCGAATAGCTCTTGGACCAGAGCCTCTCCCCATTCCAGAGCTGACCTCACCTCTCCGTGCCTCCTCGTTACGTGTTCCTGATCTGGTGGTGACCCCCGGTGGCTAATGTGGGAACAGCTGCCGCCTTTCCACCCTAGCCCACGGTCCCAGAACGTCCCTGGCAGATTCAAGTCCGGGAAGCCATGGGGACGGGGCGCTCTTCCTTCCCGCGTTAAGGCCTCAGTTTCTCCGACTGGGGAACAGGATAATGGGCTCAGCGCTCTACCTTGGGTTGGGATGGAGTCTATCAGAAGAGGAGCGAAGATTGCTCTGCTCCCTCCTTTGAATTCCCCGGCTCTCACCAGCGTTCTCCGCAGGCCCCGGTGTAACGCACGTGGTAGTGCGCGAGGATCCCTGCTACAGCGCGGGCGCCCCTCTGGCCATGGGCATGCTCGCGGGGGCCGCCACCGGCGCAGCGCTGGGCTCGCTCATGTGGTCACCCTGCTGGTTCTGAGCCAGGCCTGAGACTCAGCGTGTGGACCCGGCGCATAGAACAACTGACCTCCTTTAAACCTCCATGACCCCACCCTCCACCCCAAGCCCTGCCCAACTTTTGCCTCTTCTCTGTTAGCCATTCAGAGCTTGGATCATACCCTTCCACTCCCCCCGACCCCGGCCCCCCCGCATCAGAAGTAGTTATCATCCCAGGCACAAACGTTTACTCAAAATCCTTTTATCTACTGCCAGACACCCCAGAAACCCGTTAGAGGCACATATGGGTATGTTTTCCTCAAACGCACCAGGATACAGAAAACAACTCATGGGGCTTCAAGTTCCCCAAGGTGCTGGAGACACAGGAGTCAGGTTCTTCCAACAGGTGGCCCCAGGCTTGTTGGGAAAAACAGGAGTAAACACTTGACAAGGCAGCGTTATCAGTCTTTTTGACAGCATGAGGGCAGAGTGAGGAAGGCAGGCTAGCAAGAAGAGGCAAGAGTGCAGAGTCCTCTGTAACCATCATGGCATATCAAAGAAATTAGAGGGGCATTTAATTGGGCTGGGGCAGGGGCAGGGGCAGGGGTCAGATCATTATGCTCCTCCAGGTTAAGAAGGTTGGCTGAGCAAAGAAGTAGATATGAGCTTTTGGGCAGGGAGCTTTTATAATGAATATATAGCCTGTTTTGTTAAGACATACCCAAACCCCAAACACTGCATTTAGCCCCATCCTTCCCACTACCAGCTTACTGGGTCCCATTCCTTCAGTGCTCAGAAAGCACCTCTTTCCCATGTCAGGGTGCCTGGGGCAGCAATTGAGCTGAACCAAGGGTCCCCTTGCTTGGAGGAGGGTGGCGGGGCAGGAGAGATGTTTGGGGCTTCCACCACAGGTCTGTGTCTCCCTCAGGAAATATATTTCTGCTCCCCAGATGCTTGGCCCTGTGCCCATAACTGCAGCTGTCACCATCTAAGGCTTTGCATCTCTTCCTTCACTCAGGGGAAGAGGGCAGTGTTCATTTCTGGGGCCTGATCCACCTTTGTCTCAGCCCAGGAGGCTTCCCATGTGCCTCCCTGCAGGTAGCCCAGGAGTCTCCCCATTTGGTCCCTTTCCAGGCTCCTCCCCCAGCCCATCCGTTACCACAGAAATGCTAACATCCCTACCCAGTAGCTAGAGTAGCCTGCTAAAGTTCCCCTGTATATAGGGGCTCCAGTGGCCCTGCTGCGGAGACTAATAAAGGTGTGGTTGGCTTTACCCCGGACTCTGGCTTTGTTTCTTCTCTGGGCCCTCTCCCCCTAGGCTATCCCCATGACTCAGCTCCTGCTACTGTGTTTTCTGACATAATGAGAAGTGTTGATTCCGAGGTGAGATAGAAATGGTGACAGCATGTTAGCTGAGCATTTTGGGGCAAATCACTTAATCTTTCTGAATCTTGCTTTCCCCCACCCATAAGGTAGCAGGTTGATGTTGGCCACCCCTGAGGGCTCAAGAGACAGGCTGTTATCAGGGTCTCTGTCACTTGAGCTAATGGGTGAGCCTGCCATCTGAGAGTTCTGTGGTCTTGGGGTCTTTCCCAGCACGTTCCTGTTCTTCTACAGTTGAGTGAGTTGGTCTCAGAGACCAGGTGGTCAGGGAAGGAAACACAAACTATCTTGCTAGTGATCTGGGAAAGATGGTCTAAAACAACAGGGCTTTGAGCAGGGATGGGGTGGTGTCCAAAAGGAAATTTAGGTATTTGCCTCAGCCATATTTCAGAGACACCAACTTAAGAGGGGGACATGAACAAACAGCAATGATTCATTGAGGCAAGAGGGGAACATGGTGCTTCTGAGGAGCAAGTAGCCGACTCTGCTAAGGGAACTGGGGAAAGCTTTGGGAAGAGGAAATGGAAACCTTGTAGGATGAGTAGGAGTTTGCCAAGCAGTAAGGGAGGGAAAGCTTTCCACACAGAACATGGGAGAAATGGCATGAGCAAAGGCCTTAGAACACTTTGTTCTCAAGAGCATTATGAAGTTCAGAAAAGTCTGATGCACAGAAGGTTATATGGTGACAAGGGGTGATGAATGGGGCCAGGTTATAAAGAACCTCTCACAGCTGGGTTAAGGGCTTTTTCCTTTGTGCCTCTACAATTTCAGGGCTACCATTTGCCATGGTCCCCTGATGACACTATGGTTCTTTTAACTTGCCCCACTGAAGAGGGCAAGATGGATGCAGATGAATGTTCCAAATGCAGTTGTTTGCTTCAAAATCTCTCCACTAATAATACTGCAGCATAAATTTTTAATCTTCCAGCTGTCCGGCAGACAGTAACAAAATTACCCACACACACACTTGGAAAGAAACATTTAACACAGTCTAATCTGGAGGTGCCCCATGGAACACATCTGGCTCACACATTTGCTTGGTCAGCACAGTGTTTTTACCAAGTTCTAAATTAAAATCTGGTACCACTACATACCCACCGAAATGGCTAAAGTCGAAAAAGACAACATTAATAAATGATATGGAGCTGGAGATCTCATGTGTAAATTGGTGTAACTGCATTGGACACTAGTCAGTACAACCAAACATAGGCACACCTGATAACACGTCAATTCTACTCCTAGCTGCACCCAACAGAAATGTGTATATATGTTCACACAAAAAAGGTATGAAAGTGTCATAGAGACACTGGAAAAACTCAAATTCTAGAATGGGTCCATTGACATATCCCATTCACAAAATGGATACTATTCAAAGAGAATTAATTAGCCATAAGTATAAGCAGAATTATGGGTAAAGCAAGAAAATAAAGAAAGGGGTGAGGGGAAGGTGGGACAACCGAGTCATACTGAGGCAAGGTTCCTGTACCTTATGTAAAGTAGTACAATATTAACTTAAGAATATGCTGGTAAGTCAAAGATGCATAGTGGATTCCCCAATACAACCACTGAAAACAATGCAAAGGGATTAAGCTTAAAAAGTCAATAGGGGAATTTAAAAACAGATGTGACAAATAGAACACAAACACCAAACTGGCAGACATAAATCCAAGCATATTAATAATTATATTAGATAAAAGTGGGTGAAAAAAACAAATGAAGAGACAGAAATTGTCAGGATGAATGAACAAACAAGACCCAACTATATGCTGTGTACAAAAGACATTCTCTAAAATAAAAAAAAAAAGGAAGACTTCCAGCCAGGACAGAGGCATAGGTAGATACACTTTGCCTCCTTGCACAACCAAAAGGACAACAAACTTAAACACAAAAAAATTACCAGAACGGCCAGAAAATCGAACTGTAAGGAAACCCAACAACCAAGGAGCTAAAAAAACATTCATCCAGACCGGTAGGAGGGGTAGAGACAGGCAACCGGGGCAGAGAGGCCACCCGGCAAGGTAGTGGCTGTGGACCAGGTGGGCAAGTTGGTGGCTGGAGGACCAGGCGGGCAAGGCGGTGGCTGGAAGACTGGGCTGTCCCACATTTGTGTGCAGATAAACCAGGAGCAACAGCTGGGGAGTGAGACAGACCACGCAACCCAGGGTTCCAGTTCAGGAAAAGAAAGCCTCAAAACCTCTGGAGGTAAAAGCCTGCAGAGGTTGTGGCGGCAGGAGAAACTCCCAGCCTCACAGGGCAGTCTGTATACACATCCACCCACCCAGGAATAAGCACCAGAAGGGCCCAATTTGCTCATGGGTAGCGGGGAAGTGACTGAAAGCCAGTCGAGAGCTGAGCAAGAGGCACTGTTCCCTCTCAGACCCCTCCCTCACACAGTGTGCCACAACACAGTGACCTGGGTTGCCCCACCCTAGAGAATAACTAAGGCTCTGTCCCTTCCAATGTAACAGGTCATTGAGATAAAGAAATATGGCTCAAATGAAAGAACAGATCAAAGCTCAAAAAATGGAATTAACCAATGAACCACAGAGCCAACCTATTAGATGCCCAGTTCAACACTGGTAATCTGGATGCTCACTAAATTGGTTGAGTATGGTTGCAAAATGGATGAAAAAGTGAAGGCCACGCAAAGTGAAGTAAATAAAAATATACAGGGAACCAACTGTGAAGGGAAGGAAACCAGGACACAAATCAATGATTGGGAGCAGAAGGAAGAGATAAATATTCAACCATGACAGAATGAAGAAACAAGAATTCAAAAAAGTGAGGAGGGGCTTAGGAACCTCTGGGACAACTTTAAACATTCCAACATCCAAATCATAAGGGTGCCAGAAGCAGAAGAGAAAGAGCAAGAAACTGAAATTTTATTTGCAAAAATAATGAAGGAGAACTTCCCCAATCTGGCCAAGGAAATAGACTTCCAGGAGATCCAGGAAGATCAGAGAGTCCCGAAGAAGCTGGACCCAAGGAAGCACACACCAAGGCACATCATAATTACATTCTCCAAGATTAAAGATAAGGAGAGAATCTTCAAAGCAGCAAGAAAGAAGGAGCCAGTTACCTACAAAGGAGTTCCCATAAGACTATCAGCTGATTTCTCAAAAGAAACCTTGCAGGCAAGAAGTATTCAAAGTCATGAAAGACAGGGACCTACACCCAAGATTACTCTATCCAGCAAAGCTATCATTTAGAATGAAGGGCAGATACAGTGCTTCCCAGACAAGGTCAAGTTAAAGGATTTCATCATCACCAAGCTCATATCATATGAAGTGTTAAAGGGACTTATCTAAGAAAAAGATCAAACACTATGAACAGTAAAATGACAACAAATTCACAACTATCATCAACTGAACCTAAAAAACAAAAACAAACAACTAGAACAGGAACAGAATCATAGAAATGGAGATGAGAGGGGAGAGGGACGGGTAGAATGGGGAAACAGGTACAGGGTATCAGCAGCATAAATGGTAGGTACAAAATAGGGGGAGATTAAGAATAGTATAGGAAATGGAGAAGCCAAAGAATTTATATGTACAACCCATGGACATGAACTAAGGCAGGGGGTATTGCTGGGGGTGACAGGTGGTGGAGGGTGGAGGGAAATAAAGGGGAGAAAAAAATGGGACAAATGTAATAGCATAATCTATAAAATATATATTAAAAAAATTGAAAAAAATACCCTGAAAACAATTTTAAAGAGGACTCACAGTAGAACAGAAAAAGATATACCATATAAAGAATAGAAAAGCTGGAGTAGGTATTTAAGAAAAATTTTTAAAAAAATATTTTATTTATTTTTAGAGAAAGAGGGGAAGGGAGGGAGAAAGGGAACAAGAACATCAATGAGTGGTTGCCTCTGGCACACCCCCCTACTGGGGACCTGGCCCACAATCCAGGCATGGGTTCCAACTGGGAATTGAACTGGAGACCTCTTGGTTCACAGGCTGGTGTTCAATCTACTGAGCCATACCAGCCAGGGCTGGTGTAGCTATTTTAACATCAGACAAAACAGACATCAAGACAAAAATTATCAAAAATAAAAAGGGGCATTTCATAAAGTGTCAGTCGCTACATCAGCAAGATGGGAGCAGTGCTACGAGATGTTTATAGCTGTAAATCTACTCTTAAGGAGTAGATTAGTACAATTCTTAAGGATCCTAGGATTTTCAGATGAAAATAAACATTGGCTTCAACATAAAGTCACCAGCTGCATTAGCCCCTAACAAGAGAGTCAGCCTGTCATTTGAAGCCAGGCACTGACTTCTCATCTCCAGCTATGAAAGTCCTAGATGGCATCTTCTTTCAAAAGAATACTGTCTCGTCTACACTGAAAACCTGTTAAGCGTAGCCACCTTCATTACTTATCTTAGATCTTCTGGATAATTTGCTGCAGCTTCTACATCAGCACTTGCTGCTTCATCTTGTACTTTTATGTTATGGAGAGAGTTTCTTTCCTTAAACCTCATGAACCAACTTCTGCTAGCTTCCAGGTTTTGCAGCATCCTCACCTCACTCAGCCTTCATAGAATTGAAGAGTATTAGGGCTCTGGATCAGGCTCTGGCTTTGGGTAATGTTGTGGCTGGTATCCAAACCACTAAAACTTTCTCCATTGCAGCAATAAGGCTGTTTACTTTATTGTCATTTGTATGTTCGCTGGAGTAGCTGAGTAGTGCTTTTAATTTCCTTCAGGAATTTTTTCCTTTGCATTCACATTCAGTTAACTGTTTGGCATAAGAGGCCTAGCTTATGGCCTATTTCTGCTTTTGATGTGCTTTCCTTACTAAGTTTAACCTAGCATTCAACTGAAAGTGAGAGATATGCGACTCTTCCTTTCACCTGAACACTTAAGAAGACACTGCAGGTTTATTAAGTAGCCTAATTTCAATATTGTTGTCTCAGGGGTAGGGAGGCCCCAGAAGAGTGTAAGAGGTGGGGGAATGGCCAGTCAGTGGAACAGTCTGAACAAATACACACACACCATTTATCCATTAAGTTTGCCATCTTATATGAGCATGGTTTGTGGTGCACCCAAAATAATTACAATAATAATAATAATATTAAAGATCACTGATTATACATCACCGTAACAAATAATGAAAAATTTGAAATATTACCAAAATATGACACAGAGACACAAAGTGAGCAAATGCTGTTGGAAAAATGGGGCCGACAGACTTGCTTGATTCTGGGTTGTCAAAAACCTTCAATTTGTAAAACCACAGTATCTGCGAGTGCAGTAAAACAAGTCTTGCCTCTACAAAGCTATAGTAATCAAAACAGTGTGGTACTGGCATAAGAACAGGTATACAGACCAATGGAATGTAACAGACAACCCAGAAATAAACCCTCACATTTATAGTCATCAACTGATTTTTAACAAGGGTGCCAAAGCAATTCAATGGGGGAAAGAACAGTCTTTTCAATAAATGTTGCCGGGAAAACTAAATATCCACATGCAAAAGAATGAAGTTGGACTCTTACCTTATACTAGATACAAAATTAACTAAATGTGATTCAAAGACCTAGACTTAAGAGCTAAAATTATAAAACTCTTAGAATAAAACAGAGGAGAAAATCTTCATGACACTGGATTTGGCAGTGATTTCTTGGATATGACACCAAAAGCATAGGCAAAAAAAAAAAAAAAAAAAAAAAAAAAAAGACAATTGGGTTTGATCAAACTTAAAACTTTTGTAAATTAAGGGACACTGTTAAGAGAGTGAAAAGACAACCCACAGAATGGGAAGAAATATTTGTAAATCCATATATCTATTAAGGGATTAATATCTAAAATATGTAAAGAGCTATAATTCAACAACAAAATAAACAACCCAACTTAAAAATGGGTAGAGGACTTGAATAGACATTTCTTCAAAAAAGATATACAAATGGCCAGTTAGCAAGAAATTCAACATCAATAATCATTAAGGAAATGCAAAAATCAAAACCACAATGAGAAAGATACCACTACACTTTCATTAGGATGGCTATTACTAAAAAAAATCAGAACATAAAAAGTACTGATGAGAAACTGGAACCCTCATACATTGCTCGTAGGAATGTAAAGTTGTGCAGCTGCTGTAAAAAGCAATTTGGCATGTCTTCAAAAGTTAAACACAGTTGAACATAGAATTATCATATAATTCAGTAATTTCACTCCTACATATATACTAAAAAAGAACTGAAACCAGTAACTCAAGCAGACACTTGTATACCAATGTTCAGAGCAGCATTACTTAAAATAGCCAAAAGGTAAAAACATCAATGTCCATCAACAGATGAATGGATAAACAAAATGTGATATATACATACAATGGAATATTATTCAGCCATAAAAAGGAATGAAATTCTGATACATGCTACAACATGGATGAACACTGAAAACATTATGCTAAGAGAAAGAAGCCTTTAAACCCAGTTTAGAAGAGGCAGTTCTTATAGGAAGCACTTTCCCTAGATTACAGTCCACTAACTGATGTTTTAAAAGGGAAAAGGTAGAAAGTACTAAAAGGCCGAAGGCAGGCAGGTCGCTTCATCAACTCCTCACTTAGCGGGGATTTTATACTGCCCTAATATTACCCCTGTGGACACCTGCACCAGTAGTCTGGCCTGTGGCTTCAGTTTTCTATAGTCAAGAGGACAGCTATGGTTTGTACCAAGGCAGGGGCTAGCCCTTTTTCTATAAAGGGCCAGATTGTAAATATCTAACTCTTAGGCTCTAAGGTCTGTCATAACTCTACCATTCAACTCTGCCTTTGTAGTGAGAAAGTATGGCTGAGTTCCAATAAAACTTAATTTTTAATCCTCACCTGAGGATATGTTTTCGTTGATTTAGAGAAACATCGCTGTGAGAAACGTCGATTGGTTGCCTTCTGTCCACGCCTCAACCAAGGATTGAACTCACAGCCTCAGTATGTGCCTTCACTGGGAATCAAACCCACAACCTTTTTCGTGTATGGGACAATGCTCCAACCAACTGAGCGAACAGGCTAGAGCCAATAAAACTTATTTTAAAAAACAGGTAGCAGGCTGGATTTGGATTTGGTGGGAGGGCAGTTTACTGTCCTTGTACCAAGGCATAGGTGGGTTAGGAGTGAGGTGGCAAAAGTGGAATTTAAACTACTTTTTTTTTTCTTTTTAATCCTCACCTGAGGACATTATTTTCATTGCTTTTAGAGAGAGTAAGGGAGAGAGGGAGGGAGACAGAGACACATGGATGTGAGAGAGAAGCACTGGTTGCCTCCCATACATGCCCAGACTGAGAATCAGGGATCAAACCTACAACCAAAGCATGTGCCCTGAACAGAGATCAAACCCACAACCCTTCCGTCATGACGACGATCCAACTGAGCCACAAGGGCCAGGGCCTAAACTACATTTCTTTTTTCTCTTTTTTAAGACTTTATTTTTTAGAGAGAGGGGAAGGAACGCAGAAAGAGAGGAAGAGAAACACAAGCCCCCAAGGACCTGGCACACAAAACTACTTAAAAAAAGAAATTTAGCCCCGGTTGGTGTGGCTCAGTGGATTAAGTGCTGCCTGCAAACCAAAGGGTCGTTAGTTTGATTCCCAGTCTGGGCACATGCCTGGATTTCAGGCCAGGCCCCCAGTGTGGTTGCATGAGGGGCAACCACACATTGATGTTTCCCTCCCACTTCCTTCACCTCTCTAAAAAATAAAATATAAAAAAAATTTTTTTTACATTTATTTTTAAAGAGTACAGAAGGGAGGGAGAGAGAAACATTGATGTGCGAGAGCTGTATCTACCTATTGCCTCTTGCACGCCCCCAACCGGGGACCTGGCGAGCAACCCAGGCATGCGCCCTGATGGGAATCGAACTGGCAACTTTTCAGTTCGCAGGATGGTACTCAATCCACTCATCCACACCAACCAGGGCTTCTTTTCTTAATACATCCTGTTACTGCCTCCATCAGGAGCCTTGTTTTCAAGCTGCAGCCACTCTCCTTCACCTTTAACAGCTAAAAAGTTTTCTGACTCCCCAGGGGCTTCTCACTTTTTTGGTTGTTTTATGTTTTGGGATTCTACATTCCCCTTTATAGTTCTAGAGAGGAAATAAAGAGTACAGACTAATTCTCCACTTTGGCAGGACTGGGAAATCAAGTCAATATTGTTTTCTTTTGTGTTTTATTTATATACTTTTGGCAGCAAAACTTCATTTATTAAAAAAAAAAAATCTGGTATATGAAGACTCTTCACTGCTTCAGTTGAAGAACTCCAAGCTAAATAAAAATACCAATATTAAAAGCAACATAACTGATTACTACTGTCTTAAAGATACATAAAAAAAAAATCAAATGCTACAGTGTAGGAAATCAATCACCCCTATGTCACAAATCACAACTTCTTCCAAATAAAGAATATGACCCATTTGCCATATTGAATTGATATTTATTTCAGGACATGCCATGTCAAAATAAAACAAAAGAATCAACCCTTGCCTTTAACAATAATATTGTAATATAAAAGCACTTTACAACTCCATCCCATCTTTGAGTATAAGTTACTGGTATGTGGGCTAATGATTATCTTAAAACATTTCGCTATTCAGTCCCATTATCCAAGTGCTCTCTGAATATTAGAAGGTGATAATAAATGGGAAGTGGAGGAGAAAGAGGAAAGACAGGGGAATAAGGTTCTCCCAGTAAAGGTTTTGTTGCAATGAGGGAATGAAGAAGTATGAAGATATTTTTGTTGTATTTTCATCTTTATACTGTGTTAAGTAATGCTTACAACATAAATTCAGCAGGTTTTTCCTGAGCTGTAACTCAGAAAATTTCTTCCTGCAAATAATGTATTTACAAATGTGTTTATTAACTTACACAGCAATCTCACAATAACTAGTAAATATTAAAATGGTGCACTCCTAGTATATTTGTTTGCGGTGTTTTAAGGAAAATACATATTGCCATGGTGATGAAGCTCTAAATAGATTAAACAAAACATCTAAAAATTAAAAGTAGTTTTCAAAAGGCAAAGAAATAAATATCACCAAAGAAAAAAGATTAATTGTAGCTCTTTAAATATAAAACTAAATACTAGTTAATTAACCAAACTATACAAATCTAATAAAAAGCAAAACCAGCCTGAAAGACCCAACATTTAAAAAAAGCTAAAAAATAAGGCATAAATCTGCATAATATTGAGTTTTATTTCCATTCTCTCCTTACCCTCTTCTATGTATGCTTTTTCAGATCTGCCTCTAGGGACTTATAGGAAAACTTGCTGTTTTCAATCTGACCTCAAACATCCTGAACAAAGTATCTGCTATTTTGTTGAGGATTCTTTTGTTGGTACACATTAGATATCATTGTTTCTACTGGGTATAGTAGTTTTGATCAAGGTGGCAAATTTAAATTTTTCCACTGGTTCTTCTTAAAGGAATTTGATTTCTACAGTGCCTTGCCTGCATAGCATTAAAAAAAAGAGAGAGAGAGAGAGAGAAATCTATTGCTTAAAAAAAGGTGGGGTTTTTTTTGTTTTTTTGTTTTTAAATAAACAGGGTATCTCTATCTTGACAATTTTAAAATCTTGGGATAGTTTATTAGAAGAACTAAATATTAAAAACCTGTTCTGGAGCACTTTTACTTTTCTCTCCCAGAGTCTAACATGTGAAAGGGTTATTTGTTTTGATCAGAAATATACTTTTGTTCATTACTTATAAGTACTATGTTCATTAGGACTCATTTTAAAGATGCACCAGAACACTTCAAGCACTGCCTACCATGATAGTTGAGTTTTGACCTCAAATAAGGTCTAAATAATTTATATCAGTGCTCAAGAATAATTTTGGACACATTGACCCAAGGCCTAGAGCAAGTATCACTAAAACGGGAAGATAATTCTAATGGGCTTGGTCTGACTGCTGCTTTGCCACCTCTTGTTTGTTCTGAGGGAGGGAGAGTAATAAGAATAGAGACAGGGGTAAGACAGAGGTGAAAAAAGCAGGGAAAGGTCAAGTAGGTAGGCAAGTGCTGCTGTGAACAACTGTTCCTTAACCAAGCCACATACGGTTGAGATTTCCATCATTTTGAAGTGCATTATCAAAACATTAAAAAGGAAAAAAAAGTTAAGAAAATGTATCTAATTTTTAAAGTTATCACTGGAATATGCTGGAATCATCTGACTTTTTGTAAAATATAAATAATAAAGACACTGACTTTTTTGTGCTTGTGAAGCTAATAGATCATCTCCACGAGACAGGCAGCAATGATGAATTGCAATACGTTATTACTGAAGGGAAAAGGTTCAAGCCAATATTCACACTGCAGTCAATGAAAGAGTAAGGGGGCCAAAGCAATGAGCTTCTGGAGAAAAGCTGAAGATGCCAAGAGGGATTAGCAGGAACAGCCTCCTTCGTTGACTGGTTGGTCCTGAGGCTTTTCCAGTTTTATGTCAATCACTGAAACAAAAGTTAAGGAGCTATAAGTAGGGAAGTACAATTCCAATTCTGAACACTCACATCTCTGGCAAGTCCCTCCCATCCCTATCAACAGCTACTATTCTCTATACAGCTAGCTCACCATACCACAATATGCTCAAATGGAATAAACTTACTCGTATTTACTATATGCAGCATGATCAGAACAAAGTTAACCTCTTTATTCCTGGAAATCTACCCTAATAAAATTATTCTATAGGAGCAAGAAACCATATAAAGATGATGTTCCTTTTATTATAGATAATTATGAAAATAGCCTAAAAGAGTTCTAAGAACAGGGACAGAATTTAATAAATGATGGGACTTAACTCTGTAGAACACTTTATGCTATTAAAATAAAGGCTTAGAAAACATAAAACATTTAGAAGTGGGAAGAGCTGAATACAAAGTGCTGTAAATCCTATGGCTTAATAAAAATGCCTGCATATGGAAAAGCAGTAGAAGACAAATATACAACAATAAAAATATAAACATTCAAAATCCCTTAAAATAATTAATATTAGATGTGTTTTGTTATGTTCTGTTTTTGAAAGCATAAGCCATGATAAAGCTCCAGACTGAGTTATTTCCTCCCTATGTCAAGTAGAAAGCTTGAATGTTAGAAAAAGCAGAGGAAGAAAACATGATACACACTGTGGGGAAAATGTGCAGTCAGGACTTAAAATTAAGAAGACTGGTATTCTAGAGTTTCCTTCTCATTAAAAATCAAGCAAACAAATAAACACGAATTCTCTCACTGATTAATTGTAGTGAGCAGCAGGGCACAAAGTATACCCCTTGGATAACCAGATCTCATTTGTCACAGAAAACCGCAGAGCTTCTATGCGCCTAGGCCATCAATTCCTGACTGCAAAAGACAGTGGCATAATATTTCTTAGCCAACCAAGTGGGGTGGTAAGGACTAGTGATAACAACATCTTCCGATGACACAGGAAGGATACTGTCTTCTCTGCTTCTGTCCTGTGTGCTTTCCATTCCAGGCAAAGCTGCTGCAACACGTCGGAAGAGCTGTGGAGAAGAGAGAAATGAGATAACTGGGAGGGAATTCAGCAAATGGCATCAAGTAAAGGTGAATGACCACTGCATTCTGTGTTCAAGGATACAGCTTCTAGGTTATTTCTTATTTAGACCTTACCACAATGAAAACATCTTAAAATATCTATTTATTCTATAAATAGAATACTGTATAAAAAACACTATACTAAATACAGAGGTATAAAGATATGATCCTTGCTTTCCACCTGGTGATATGAGACATGAACAAACAGTGAAGAAATAAGCGGTAAAAATGTCATGTGAGTCATAAAAACTAAGAACTTAGAAACTCAGAGTAAAGGACAGATTGTTCATTTCGTAAAGTTTATAGTGGCATCCCTATCTTTTATAAAGGGTGAGGTTCTAAAGATGGTGTATATATAGTGAAAGACAGAATAGTCAAAATTATCCTGAATAATCCTTTAAGAAAGCACTATGTTAGAGACTAGCATACCACCTCTTAAGCTAAACACAGCTGTCTTTTCCTCTGTCATTGGAAAGAGCACGGGTGGAATGGTTGGCTTGTCTGAGGTATGATGTAATGAAAAACATTTACAGAAGAATCACGCTCAAGCCTGGTGAGATGTTCACTAGAGGCATGTGGGAACAGAAAGGTCTAATGACAGAAAAAACAGCAGTTTCATACCTATTTTGCCCCCAAACCTAAAGCATATGCTCACTGGGTAGAATAGCACATAAAACTGCTGGATTTGCCCTGGCTGGTGTGGCTCAGTGGACTGAGCACTGGCCTGTGAACTAAAAGGTTGCAGTGTTAATTCCCAGTCAGAGCATATGCCTGGGTTGCAGGCCCTGGAAGAGTCAACGAATTGATGTTACTCTCCTTCTCTTTCTCCCTTCCTTCCACTCTCTCTAAAAATAAATTGATCAATTAAAAAAAAAGAAAAAAAACCCTGCTGGATTATTTCAGTCGCTTCTTTGTTAGGCATGCAGTGTAAAATTCCTATAAATTAAATCCACATGTGATATAACTCTCTCTACTAAGCATTTGCTTACTTGAGGTATTGTCTCATGTTCTCTAGGGACATAGAAACGAACAAGATGTAATTTTTTAATTCAAGGAGATCACAGTTTGGCAAAGAAGACAGACTCAAACAATTTCTTATGTGACAACTTGATTAATGCTATAAACCAAGGCAATACAAAATGATATAGGAATACAGATGAAAGAAAGCTCTTCTCAAGAAGCGGGGAAAGTCTTCAGGTGGAAACATCTGAGTTGGGATCTAAAGGCAGTTTTAAAATTTTGCCTGGCTGAAAAACACACTGTGTAAAGTGTTCAGAGTTTACATGCTCTGAATTTAAGTGCTCCATAAATGTTGCTGAATTAAAATGAAAAGGAAACAGAAAGAACAAAGGCCAGAGATGAAAGACAGGTTTTAATCTGTTTGGGGAAAGAAGTATAGAAAATAAGTGAATTTTTATCTGCAGGCAATCTCTCAATGGGATAGGATTAGGGAAGACTCTTAAGGAAAAGTACTATGATCTTGGTTCTATATGGTTTAGTAGCACTTTAGAAACATACCAAAGTTATGCACTAGCCTCAATATTCAACTCAAATCAGCTCTTAAACATAAAATTGTAGAACACTTAATTTAACATCTTCTGGTATTCCAGAAATTGTGCATGATCAAAGATCATGTGGTTATGTAAATTATCTATCTAATCAATATGACATTAATTGTGTAAGGTGAGTCCATTTGGATTAATATATAAATACTTATTTTCAAATATAGAGCAACATTCTAGATACAAGAATAAATGCTGCAATAATTAGTGATTGTGAAAACTGTTAATTTTATGAACAAAAATAACTTTAAATTCACAAAACTGAAATAAATGCAGAACTAGATTGATGGAGTAAATTAGATTAACTTCAGAAAGAATATTATGCCGCTTTAAAGCAGCAAGGGTTTGTAAAAATTTAATTAATGCAAAGTTAGACAAAAATTCTAATCTTTTTGAAGTTTTTGTATATTAGCATTAGATAATGAATTAAAAAAAGAATACCAACTTTGTGAGCTCAAAATTTTATACACCAAGGAAAAGTCTAACACCCATTAAAAATCACCTTTCATCTAGACACAAAGAATACAGAGTATGAAGTAAAACATATGTTACAGAAATAAGAAAGTCTAAAAAAATTTATTCCCCTATGATCATCAGCTAAAAACAACCATCTATTTAGTACTGCAAATAGACAGTAAGTATAGTGACTACAGAAATAATCTAGCAGCTATCAGATCAAAATTTGTATCCCAGAAATTCATTCTGTAATGGTAGTATTTAGTCTTGGTCACAACGATTTTAACACTTGGTCATCTAGCCAAATGCAGAGTCAGCACATTTCTGATTTAAATAGAGATGAGGGCAAGGGAAAAGAAGTGTGAAAATTTTCAGAGGCAAGAACTGCCAGAATAAAATGTTCAGAGGTAGAAAAGCACAGAGCATATTCAAGAATCATTATGTGGTCCCGACTGGCCAGAGCAGACTATGTAAAAGAATTAGGATGAAACTGTATATTGAAGGACAGATTAAAAAAGACGTGGAAGAGATAGGGACTTGTCCTGCAAACAAAGAGAAGGAACTATAAAAGCCACTTGCATGAGGACTCCTATCACTGATTCCAGTGTCTTCATATGGCTACAAAGACATATATATCACATACTGAAAGCAGCAGATAAGATGAAATGGCAGAAATCTAAAAACAAAAATGTAAAGTGCATTTAGCATTCTGTGTAGGCCACTAAGGTGGCAGTCTTCATTCTGTCCCTTAATTTTCTCATCTGTAAAATGGAATTAAAACAATACACTTAACGGACTGGATTATTGTGAAGCTCAAGGGAAATCATGTTATATTATGTTAACTGCTTAGGACTGACCTGTTATTTAGAAAGACTTTAATAAACAGTACCTGTATTTCTACCAGATATTAGTCACAATAATTGATGGTCCTGCAGGCTACATTTTCCAAATGTTATGATATTCTGCACTATAGCAGAATTATAGCAGATTCCAGTATTATAGCAGAACACCAACAGGGACAAAATTCTTTTTTAAGAAATTATGTAAAACTTTTGGAAAAGGTATGGAGGTTGGGAGAGACCTTTTGAAAATACAGAGCAGAACTGAAATGTTTTTACTTAGAAATATCTAGAAATTTTTCCAAGATCTCATAGTTTGTTTCTGACATGAAATATTAACTACTTACTTGTTCAAGATAAATACCCCCATTATTATAGCTTTTTTACTTCAAGGAGAATTAATTTCTCTAATCCTTCCTTAGATTTCTTCTAATAAAAAGAGGGACATAATTGTGAAGTTCAAAGGACACAATGATGCTGCTTCTCCTAGGAATATCCTTGCTCCCAGCCCAACCTGTCTAGCTGAAACTCATCTTCAGGATCCCTAGTGATTCCTTAGAAAACTTCCTTAACTCATTCAGATTCCTTCAATTCCATCACTCTCCCATCTAGTAAAATACTTCTATATATACTCTAATAGCACCCTGTTTCCTCTTTTGGAGCAATACACTAATTGTAATGGCCTATTTACTTCCCTGTCTTTCCCTCTAAATTTTAAACTCCTGGAGGGCAAAGCTCATATTTCATCTCTTTGTTATCCTAGTACCCAATAGGCAGTAGGTATTTTTTAAAAAATATTTTATTTATTCATTTTTAGAGAGAGAAAAACACCAATGTGTGGTTGTCTTTTTGAATGACCCCTACTGGGGACCTGGTCTGCAATCCAGGCATGTGCCCTGAGTGGGAACTGAACTGGCAACCCTTTGATTTGCAAGCTGGCACTCAATCCACTGAGCCACACCAGCCAGGGTGGGGTTTTTTTTTGCTGTTTTTTTTTAATGATAGTTGAAAGACTGACTAATAGGTGTGAAAACATATTAGAAAGCATAGAGTGCAGTTCATACAGTTGATTAGTACTTTTAGCTTACAGTTTTTTTGGGTTCACTTGCATCTGAATTACCATGTCATTCCTTAGGAATGACTATCCATAATACTACTTAGCAGATGATCACCGATCTGAGAATGGCTGTTCTTTTATCAAGTGAAAGAAAAACTAGCAATCCTTACATCTACTGAATCCTCCTGATACCCCACCCAAATGGACAACAAAATAAATAAATTTAGTTCCTTGAAGAAAAAAGAAGTATAAAAGGGATTTTATTTTTTTATTTAAATATTTTTATTTATTTTTAGAGAGAGAGGGGAAGAAAGGAAGAGAAACATCAGTGTGTGGTTGTCTTTCACATGCCCCCTACTGGGGACTTGGCCTGCAATCCAGGTATGTGCCCTGACTAGGAATCGAACCAGTGACCCTTTGGTTTGCAGGCTGGCGCTCAATCCACTGAGCCACACCAGCCAGGGCGGGATTTTAAATTTACATGGAGAGAGTGACAATGAGGGAAAACTGTGATAAACTTCAACTTGATGAAAAACAAATGCTGCTGAGTAATATCTCCAATCAAACAAAAAGGATTCAATTAAAACACGCAAGTATAATGGGAGGTGATAACACTTTTGCCATATACTAAAGAAATAGCAAAGCTAAGATTCCAAGGTTCACATTCTTTCTATTACTTTATGCTACCTAGTATAAATGGAAGACCTTTCTATATGAAAAGCACAGTGAAAAGGGCTACGCAAATAGCTGAAAATCCTGAGTATGAAGAATTTTTTCCTGAAAAACTACCACATGCAATGTCATAGAGATAAAAACTTAATCCATTTTCTATGACTAAAACTTTTATCTGTAGTGTTAATCAATGTATTTTTAATTTTTGGTGCTGTCAAAATATTTCAATTAAACTCAAAGAATCAATGTCACTCACTTGTACTCACCTCAGAACACTGCAAAATGAGCCAAGAAAATACAAAAGCCAAGTTCTATCCTTACAGAAATATATATGACAGGAAAGAAAAGATTCTAGGGGTTTA